TGGAATTCTATACTAATACCTTCTTCGTGCATCAATATGATTATGTTGCTCCAATGGCAGCTTGCATGCCTTAACAAGCTCGTTCCGATTGCCGTGTATTAGTGTCGGTCGCGGTATGCGACGTGCACCTCGATTGGAACCCCCATGAATTTCGGTAAAAGGTCCTACTTGAGTTACTGAACCCCCCTCCCGCCCGAAGGGTTAACCGTTACGTTTGCACTTTTTCAAAAATTTTGCAACCCTCCTCCACCACCGTCAGTCTTCGAAGGTTCCAGTACGATCCCCCCGTCCTCACAACTCCACCCAATCTTTCTCTTTTCGTAAAACTTCGCCAAATTCGTCAAAAAATCTGTTCAAATATAACCCCCTTTGAGGACCTGCTCCGTTCCTACTGCGATAACCTTGCTCAACCCCAAAATGCGATCTCCTCGTTTGAACAGTGCGAACGGACGGATGACACTGCTCCCCCCTCCCAAATAGCTACATACCTATTATGTGGTCGAAGGGGCAGCTGTACAGTGATATTACGAAGGAACTCCAAAAAAGTACTAACGAAACATCTCAAAAAATGGTGAACTGACGAGCCACTTCCGACAATTATTGTGACAAAAGAAATCTGCAGGACAGGGGGAGGTAAGCCTCGGCAGTACAAAATCTACCCGAATGTGATCATGGTGATGAGACACACCGAACGCTTGGATGAATTCTTCCCGGACTGGATCTCGAAGAACATGAATCACCCATACAGGCCGTTCGACTTGAACATGGTAAATTACCAGTCATTTTTTAATAATTATAGTTGGACATCTCCTTTGGGAATCGGATGCGAGAACTTTTGCAGCCCATGGCTTTACCAATACAACGTCCCCCGCAAGCATACCAGAGCGATCCACCCATCACTAACACTGGCGACATTCTTGCTCGACTCATTGCCCGAGGGATGTACTCGACTGCTTACGTTCCAGGTAGGCTACGAATGGTTCAATGATTAAATAATGAACGTTTTGATGACTCCAATAGAAGAACTGCTCGAGTTCTCAAAAAGTCTAAAAACTTTTACAGAATTTTATAAAACTGTAGAAGCACTAGCAGTTCTATCACTTACACTATTGCTTTCGTCTACTCGTATTTATTTAACTGCTGTATACGGAAGGTTATACATGTGGAAAATACGCATTCCTATCACTCGACGCTAACTCCTGTCATTATTTTTCTTAAGGTCCGATATTGTTTGTGGGCTCTTCAGAACAGCCTGCAGTACCTATATGACGACAGATAAATAAATGTCTTGGGTCTCAATCCTCAAAACTATGCAGCCTCTTATGCACGCCAGTAAACGATAATACTGCACGCCGAAAGCATGGTCTGATCCCGTGTAGCACTTTTTGAAAGCAGCAAAATCGGAAAGGCAAAACCTTTGACTACATGATGTGTTCTATGCGCGTTATCGAACTGTCCCCAGGTCTCCCAAGTCAAGCGGAGGCGACTAGGCTCTTGAAGCTGCAAGCTACCATGAATGCTGGCGGTCGGCACTACATAAACCCTCATAGTATATCCTATCTATATCCTTCATGTCATAAGTTCCATGTCATATGAAGTTCCTTAGCCGTTCTGCTGACGCCAACGTTGACCTCGAAGGTGCGGTACATTTTATGGAACTTCTCCAATTCCATAAAGAATGCTTCGTGGTTTTCCTCGTCGTAGCTTGATGTTGGTGGGTAGGCGACAATCAACAAGCGGAGTGCAGGTACCGCGTTATCTCCAATCCGAAACACGGCAGCCGATTGAGATCGCAAGCTTTGTACGAATCTACCTGTTTACTCAGGCAATTTACCTGTTAACCGAAGACAATCTACAAGCCACCAAAGTTATCTCTTCTAACATAATTGCACGAACCACGATTCTCCTCTGTGAGGATACATGGAAGCTGTCGGTTGGCCCCTCGTCTCAGTCCAGTTTCGATGACGTCTACCTTCGTGGCTTGCATCATCGAGTCTTTAACGTTAGTTCCAGATGGAAACGGTTGTACGGAGAAGAGGCAAGGTGGTCACAGGTTGTCACCTTTCCTCTTCGCCTTTTGGTAGCCAACTCCAGCCCTTACTAGACGCTGCCGAGCGGACTTACCCAACGGTACGTTTTTGCCATTCTCAAAGTTGCGGCGGCGCCTTCCACTATATAGCTGTTTTCGGCACCCACGAATAGCTTGCCAGGCTCTGTCGTTGGGGCAGGTAGTCTTCAGCTAATAGCCATGCTCTCGCGGGAAAGGGGCTTTGTTTTCGGCAGATTTCCCCTGGCCGCTTCTCGTGTACATTCTCACCAATACGAATTAGGCTTTTGACTATGTATGATGCGGTATACCAGCATGCACACGGCAGCATGGATGGTATACCGCATCATACATAGTCAAAAGCCGGTTAAGAGTGGAGTGAGCTGGTATGTATTGCACTAAAAAATAGGACTCCTACCCGTGAACTAATCAGTGCAACTACAATACATTATGGCTTTTGGTCTGCGATTCGCCTCCTATCCCCCATCTGGGGTCGCACTTGTAGCCTTGCTACCGAGGTACCTTTTGGTAGTAGTACGAGCATCAGTAGATGATATCTGTGAGTCAATAAATTACAACACTTACAATAAGATAATAATATATCATCAGAATGGCTAGCGTTAGGCCCGTATTGAGGCGTTGCTCCTGCAGGAATTAGTGATCAGTGGCTACAGTAAAGTGGTAACGGCCTTATGAATGGTGAATACGGATTAATGGCAAGAGGCAAATTGCCTCGGTACTGCAACGGTGCGACAGTTCGTTGTTTGTTTCACAGCGATGTGATCTTGCTAAAGCATCCTTAACAAGGCCTCAAGTTTCTGCTGAAATCTTGGCTTTATTCAATAAAACGCAACTCCAGAAGTTAAAACACTCCCCATGTCTCGAAAGTGGAGATTTATCGCAAAACTCAGCGACCTGTCGAATCCAATACATCGAGCTCATGCCCGCCAAGTTACGTCTTTATAACGTCAACTAACAGCTGCACACGCACAGCGTCACGATAATCATGGCCGAGGTCTTCAGTCGCAGAACAGAGCGAGCGAGTGCTCTTTCTCCTATCTGTGCGGACTTTGCGAATTTCAGCGAATAGCGCGGTACTGGCGATGAGCAGGGGATACGAGCGACGCACCAGCCGAATCTGCTGTGTGGGAAAGCGGCGGGAATCCCCTTGGGCGCACGGTGATTCCTGCAACCTTCTCAGGCTCTCATGCCTATGCGAGCCTGAGAAATAGCTAGTGAATCGCTGGATTTGCATAGCCCGGTACCGGCCTTGTAGTCATTCTACCTGGCTATGCCATTTCATATACTAATATCCTACTATATATAATCGGCTAAGCGGTTGTGTGTGTGTGTGTGTGTCTGACCGGAAATTCATAACTTCACCCCCTTTGGACCCAGAGCGCTCAAACTTCTAGGATATATAGGGGGCCGGAGGTGAACACTGATGACGGGTGGCGGGAAGTGATAACTACTGATAGGAGCTGATAACGGACGTCGAAATGTTGATGTCACCAATTTCGTTACACCGTTCGCGTTGACAGTGGAGAGTTTGCACTCATGTATGATATGTGGGTGAGGCGGGGACCAAGAAGTTGAGTGAACGAATGTGGTAGCAACTGATAAGAACTGATAAGGGGCGTCAAAGTGTGGATACCACCAGTTTCGTTGCGGCCCTTGCGGTTACATTGGAACCTTGGCTCTCACATGTGGTATAGGGGATGGGACGGGAACACGGATAGCGGATGATCAGAAGTGATAACAAGCGATAACGGTTGATAAGGAAGTTAGGATTTTGAGTACTGCTAATTTCGTTGCAGCCTTCGTGGTGACAGTAAATATTAGCTCCTACACGTTGCGTGGAGGTTGGGACCGGGACACCGATTGCGAACAGTATGAACTGATAACAAATGACAAGGAATGATAAGAGCGTTTGAATGCAGGTCTCTCCAACTTCGTTGCAATTTTCACTGGCAAGCGATCAAGGTGGCGAGGGTTGAATGTAGGTGACAGAAAGTGGTACAACTGTACTGATAAAAGTAGCGACAGTTAAGCGTGCCTTCAGTTTGGCTGAACCAGGTTCCTAGCACGTGAATGTGTTCCATTCCTACACTTCCATCTAAAGAAGTAAAGAAAGTTGAGCTGCTCAACTATCTGAACTGGACGGATAATAGCGAAATTTCCACTAATTTCCACCACACTTCCAAACCCGCTCCGGTTATGATCTGGATTGATTGCTCTCATTTCTACTTACACCGACCCATCATCCACACCTTGTGGAAAATTTCATACAACCGGCTAGATCATCCGAGCCGCTATAAATGCTAGTGTTTCAAATGTCATGAATAATCAATTTTCCATTCCGCCATCGCTCCTCCACCGCGCGATCCACGCTAATCTTTAGCCCAAATTGACAGTCCTATCTCAGAAAAATTCATGTGACGCATCTTCCAAACTATAATCATAATTTCTCAGGCCACGTGACCTAAATAGCAATTTTGTTTATACCACCATGTGATGCGCGCCGGTTGAGAGGAGGCTAAACTGGTTTATAGCAGTATATAAATACGTTTTCTCACAATTCAAACTCACCACTCTCAAGCGCGAGCATCCCAGCACACACAGTACCTTGTGAAGCGTTTGGATTTTGGGTGGAACGAATCAACCGACAAGACACTACAACAAACGAAATTTCTTACGACAAAAAGAACACCCATCATTCGGCATAAACGAAGATTATCCTCTCACGACCTGGTGTGTATTATTTCCAATATAAATTACAGATGTGATCTACTGCTCCGCCAGCTCTTAGATGCATTCAGACGGCGTATGCCGTTAAACAAGTAACCAAATGTAAAGCCCCAATAAGGTTAGTGATTGACTTTCTTGCAAACTCATCAAATTTTTGAAGCTGGTATTCTGCAATGCTCTCCCTTTATGGACCCTTAAGCTGTTTCAAAGAAAGTCGACAGCTGAAGCTATATGTTATCCTTACCATGGGGAAGGCATCCTTCTCCTGCGATGCTCTCCCGGGTCATAGATCTCGCCATTCCTCTGCATTTCTACCCTTCTGACACTCAGAGTGAGAGTTAGGGCAACGCTACCCCTCTCCAAGAATAGAGTGCTTTAAAAGGAAAATTCTACAGAAGCATTAGCCGTGTTGAAATTAGGAGCCAACACAGCGGAAATCCTGCCTCCTCCTCCCCTAAACTGAGAGGACCATTTGAAGTCCAAGCAAGTGAAGATGCTTCTGTAACAGGGTCAACCGTCCGTTGGACAAAGTCCAACGCGACGACGAGAGTAATGCCGAGAGTGAACGTACGCACGGAGACACAGACGGCTCGCGGGTGGCGAGAGTGAATGCCGGCGCGGAGAGCGGTCAACATCGGTCCAACGTAACGGTTGACCCTGCCCGGATGTAGTGCAAAAACAGAGACGAGAACGTGAATGCAGTGCTTCGAAGTGCGCAACGGCTCCCGCGGCGAGAGCGAATTACATCGCCGGGATACGAGGAACTGACAGGCACAAATCCTCGCCACCCTCAACGAATCCTCGACATCGTGAATCACGCCATACACCCAAAGCACTCGCCCTTTGCGCAAAAACCCAATTGGCTGCATTGCGTCGGAAGTATTATAGGCACAATCCATAAATTATCACTTTGCACAAAGAAAATACTGCCAGAAGCTTCAGCGCTTATTAACTCGTCCGCGTGTCCGTCTCAACGTCCCTTTCCTTCTGTAGCAGCCAGAAGGCTGCGAGTAATAGTTAAAACATATCACACTTCAGCCGTCAAGAATTATTAACGACTCATAACGCTTGGGTGTAACTTAGCAGTTTTGCAAATATGGTCTTTTTTCGGCTTACAAAGTGGCTTTTTCCCGCGGGACATAATCGAAGAGAGCAACCAGTCGTGAGATAACTGATGATTTCAGAGTAGAACCCGGATTATTCGAAAGCTTCAACAATTATCCGATGGGCCTGCCAGGAATTTGCACGCAACAACGAGCTCAGTTTAATGTTGATGAGAATTACACGCCTCATACTAAACTTGAAGATGTGGGTTCAGGCCACGATTTCTTGAAGGCAGTGGTCACGATGGCTGAGCATCGTAAGGCTCTGCCAGTCTTTTCCGCGCGTTAGGCAAGACTCACAAGACTGGGGATGGATGGACTTTTTTGCCGGTCCTCCGACGTGCGCTCACGCAACTCCTCTTATGTGCTCTGATCCTTACGGCCATGCGTATATGACTGTTTTCGCAGACCCGCCTGTTCCCTGGAGTCGCAGGCCGCGGACCATTCTTAATAGAGAGTAGTGAGAGCCAGGGTCAACCGTCCGCTGGACAAAGTCCAACGAGGGGGTGGGGGGTTGTTTTGGGAGTGGAAAGGGGCCGGTATTTCGACACCATCAACACGTCATGTACAGTAGGAAAGTTATTTTTTTATTTAAGCGAACAGTGGATTTTGTAGGCTGGCTTTTGAGATTAATACGCCGGCATATATTTTGTGCCAAAGGAAATGTTGGCTGTGTTCGACTGATCCCAGAATCAATCTATAAGAAACGCCACCCGGTAGCGACGATGGTGGTGGAGATAGTCGTGCGGATTTGCCTTGGGGGTCCAACGGACGGGTTCGACCTTGTGAGAGCGCCCCTGAATCAAGAGTTCTGAAGCGCCTTCCTATTGATGACGTGCCCAATTCCTATCCGTCCCTCAACCATCTTTACCGCTGTCTTCTTTGAAAAACGTAAATCTGAGTTCGGGGTCAATAACTACATTTGGTCAGAGTACAGCCTCCACAAGTTCAACTTTTCACATCACTGTTTAACAACTGCGGGGGGGGGAGGGGAGGGAGAGCTATGACTGAGAACGACTTTTAGGCTTTTGACAGCGCGAAACTTGCGCTGCGTGCTCACCAGTCTCCACCCCAAGAAGCGCCGTCCCAAAGTGTTGCGCGCATTTTGCTCAGACAGAAATTCGCCTTCAGTCCTAACCGCGACCACACATATCCTGTAACGCCTAGGTAACGGACTAGAGCACTCCTTCCAGTTAGCTTCTACAGCCTGATGCGAATAAGGTACAGATCCACGTGTCGAGCGCATAACTTTGAATAAACAATTCACGTTCGAACTGATTTCTGTTGTTTCGTATCAGCTTCCCTCATCAACGTGGATCCGTACTACCAAATGCATTTCGTCGCAAAAACCACTTCCGTCGCCGCCCACTCGTCGCACTGCCGTGGAAAATCTCCTTACCACTTTTGGTTTTGACATTACCACAACCTCAAATCTCAATTTTTTCTATCGCCCAAATTTCGTCCACAGGGAAGATTCAATACTCTTTTTACAAAACTAACATTTACTTTCAACGCTGGTGCGTGCATTTGGCGATAGTTGGTGCACCTTTGTCACGATGGTACAGGAGTTATTTGGTGTCCCGATTACGGATGTGACTCATTCTTAAATTGATTTCGAGATTTCAGGGATGTGATGGTTGATAATTACACGAATATTTGAGTTCTCGTCATGTGCTCTCCTAAATTACGCATAAGTAATTTTAATTAATAAACGAAATTTGCAGTTGACGTGCTGCAAAAATGAGACAAACGATGATTACAATACCCGCGTTCGCCACTCACTGATTCGCATCTCTAAAATCCACGAAATTAGTTCTTCGAAAAAGGATCAGCTTATACTGGTACGTGTCATTCGATCTTAATTTATTTCATCATTCACTGCTTTCAATTGCTTCTCTTGCCCCTAAAGACACGCGTCGGGATTAGTCGATCAAAGGAACAAGCTTTGTCGATACTATGACTGGGTCTGCAACCATAGAGGTGATGCCGCGCTCGTGACTCGAAACCGCGCGGCTATACAACCCTGGCCTAGCATTTAGGACGACGTGAGCTATGACCGCCCACTGCTGGCATAACGCGTGAAATCAGCTGAGTTGATTGCCGTATCAGCTGCTTTCACGGAGCCAGCAATGGTTGGCATGTCCGAAAACTCGTTCGGACATGCATTCTCCTAGCCAGCCTCCTTCGCCGCTGTTGGGAGGGAGGGTTTTATTTTCGGTCTTGTCGACGGCTTCTTTCCGTTTTTTCTTCACTGGCGTTCCATTTCGCATCTCTGCACTCACTTTCAAGTGCAAAAATGCCCAACTCGATCCCGACCCCTGCCTTTAAATCAGCATGACAAACGTGCACACCGAAGCGCTTTCCAGTGTGCTGCTCTTGACGACATCACTTGAACTATTGTTAAGGGAGGATTGCACGTAAGCATCACATCGGCATCGGTCGAAGAGGGGACGGGGACATGCAGTCAGTGAAAGGGCACACGGGGGTTTAAAGGGCCGGTATGCTGCGCTTGCCAGCGTAGGGTAGGCTTTCGGCGCCTAACTGGCGCGTACCGCGCCGCTACCTGGTTCCACTCCCACCGCTTGCTCACCACCGCCGCTTGCATCTAGCCGCTCCAGTCCAGAGCAAGAGTGTAGGTGTTTGGGAGGGGCACACACCCATGAGTTTCGCCAAACGCACAAGTCAACGGAAAGGGAACTCCGGGTTTTGGGCCGTTTTTCTTGATTTTATAATCATCCCTGTCTCAATGGCCACCGCGTACCTTGATTTCTATTTAGGCTGTCTCTTTTATCGTAACTACCCGCATTTAACGGAGGTTTCCTCCGATACGGTTCGTATTTCAAAGACAGGGGAAATAAATATAAATTAATCGAGAAGCAGTTAGCCCTCAAGGGCCGTGGAAACATGCGCGTTCAGCGACCAAGGGTTTGCCCAGCTGCTTAACAAGGCCTTACCATTTCGTGATAGGTGCTTCAGCGCTGAGTTCACCTAGGCATTTGGAAGTCAACGGCGGTCCGCTTTCGTATGCTGGAGTTCTTACTCGTGCTCACCTTCCATGAAGAGCATGGGAACCGAAAGAAGTAGGAAAGAAGTCCTCCTTGGAGTCCACAGATGCCCTCAACTCAAGCAAATAAGTATCTTAGTTACTATATCTCACGCATGCCACTTCCAGATTGTTGGCCACGCTCAAACTGTTGACATTGCTGCCGGAACCTTCGCAAAGAAATTACGACATTCAAGTGAAGTCGACTTGTGCTGGGACCAAGTAAAGATACCGTATGGAGGCCTCCTTGTCTTGGAACGAATAGAGGTGAGCTTACAGACAGACAGTTACGGAAAACGAGGATGTAATTCATATGAGCACGGCAGCATAAGTGCGTTCTCCGCTGAAGGGCTCACTGCTTGCGCCGCTGACCACTGATGTTTGAGCTTATCATAGTGGTGCTGTCACTGCAAGTTGCATTCGGTTGCAAGCCGCCGTTCACAAAGAATTGTTCAAAGGCACAGTCCAACAGATTTAGGTTTCGCGTTTAGTGGCGATTCAGATATAAGGGCAGTAGGAGATGCATGACCTCACAGGGAACAAAAAAATGAAGGACTGTGATGAAACCCTCATGAATAACGCTCCCTTTTCATCACTGAACTGTGATATTGTACGAGAACACAGCGAAGAGATTGCGAGTTAGGACGAGTTACCTTGACGGCGACGGAAATTCCGAAAATTCCTCTTTCCAAGTGAGCCGCGTGCTGCTGCAGTAGTGGCACATATCCTGTACCACATCGCTTGAGCTATTTTCACTAATGTGGAACATGCAACGGGTCATCCTAGGGTGGGCTCTAATATCATCGTGGACACTTTCTGGACATCTTCCACGTTTGTGAGCGCAATACATCGGTGAGCGGATGAATATTGAAGAGGGGGGGGGAGGGGGCGAGGGGAGAAAATGACCTCTCAAACTTTTTAGGACCCTAATCGCGCGTGTAGGCACGGATATAGACTAATCGTAAGTCGAGAAAGCTGGGACCAATGCTTATTGCCAATGGCTGGCTCGCACACAGAATCAACATCCTCGTTCCAATTCTATAATTCAAGGACCCTTCCTTAAAGGCAAAATTCTGTGGAGCTTAAGTCTGCACCTGAAGAATCGCTCTAGCTGACTAGACGTGTGTGCCGCTGGTCACTGCAGACACCTTCGCACCATCGATAACATACATAAGACGCTAGTCGCTGAACCTTGATAAAATCTCTAAACTGACCGTGCAGGCCCACAATTAGTATTCATGTCGGCGTCGAAATGTGGGATCTCCTACGCTTGTCTTTCTAACTTATTATCTCGAGCTTAATAATACCCTCTCGTATCGCTGATTCTTTATGCCTGCGCCTAACCTCGTTCACAGCGCTACGAGCAAAAAGCTCGTTTCCTAAGCTTTTGACGATTTCCTTCCGCTTTTCTCTACTTGGTGTCCACATTGCATTCCTACTCCCATTTCGAACGAAACTAGATCGATTCAATTATGGTCCTTGCCTTTAGTCGGCACACGGGACACGCCCGCCTCCCACGATCCTAAGATACTGGCTTATGCCTTGTATCATTGAGAGGGAAAAGTTTCTTTTCTCTCGGATATCAAAAGGGAATAGGGTTAATATTCCCTAACGCAGACACAGAGATTGTGACTCATTGAGTCACTTGCGCGGTAACGCATTCGAACTTGGTTACGTCGCTCAGAGACCGAGCTAGGTTTAACCACCCTTTGACTCGCGTACAAGTTACACTCCTCGGTCCGTGTTTCAAGACGGGTCGGAGAGGTGGTCGACTTTCACACTGACACCCTGCAAGCAGGATAAAACATTAGCCATGACAAACTTAACCGTAAGTAAGACACCACCGAAGTGGGCAACACAAACGGGTCAGAACGCACAGCCAATGCTGTCAGCGCAACCATAGGCAACATACATCACCTGCAGTCACACAATTAAGCGACATTAGGAAACTTAGTTACCCGGTTACGTCAACTCTCTCCGGTTCCACTCCAGCGATTTCACGTTCTCTTGAACTCTCTCTTCAAAGTTCTTTGCAACTTTCCTTCACTCCCCCCCCACTATGAACCCAATCGTCACCATCTGAACCCCATCGTCACCATTGGATGTCTACGGTATTTCATTCTGTGATCCCCACCTAGTTTTCACCTTTGATTGATACCTACACGACTCCCTCCATGAATCTCAAATACGACTCTCTTCTCGTCTCCACCAATCAAAATACGACCCCCTTCTCGAAAGATCCAAATACGACCCCCTGCTGGCCTTGTTCGGAATTGCGCAACTGATGACCCTGCTCACACATCGGCTCGTGATTGGCGCACCAGAATCTGAGTGCATAGCTCCACGCAAATTACGATTATTAAGGAGCTGTAAAGTGAGATAATAATCAAAATACTGATCAATAAGAAACATTAAATGAGCAAATTCATAAGAAGGAAAAATTCAGGGACGGAAAGGATGGACACCGAATCTTTACGCAATCCCACCTGTGAACTACAGGAATGTCACCACACAGTTCGACACCGGCTTTGTACTGAGAGAAGGTGAAAAACACTATGAAAAGCGCGAACAGTCGGCAGCAGCCAAGTGATAATCATAATGATATCAATCACATACTCGGTGGAAATTTTTCAATTAACATAAATTTCTGCTGATTCCTTGTGTAAACATGAACCTGTACCTGAAACCTACATGTATTAGGTCGGTCCATAATTTTTGAGACACTTTACATGTATTGGTGTAAAAATCTTTTGATAAGTATTGAAGCTTTCCAAGATGTCCTGCAACCTAGCACACAAGCTCTATCCGACAGGCTAGCCATCTCGTTTGCTTGTTGCTTTCTTTAGCTAGGATTCCAATTTCTTTGAAACCTATTTCTGAGCCTCTTTCTTCATGACTACCGATTAGGATCTTCCACGCGCCAAGCTATATGTAGGACTAACCAGAAGATAGTTGAGGGCACGCTCTCTCAATCCACTGTTACCTCTACTCAGGGTTCCCTCCTTTTATTCGAAGATGATCCACACTCCAACCACCCCGTGACTGGCAATCTCGATGCTCTATCCGGCGCCATTGAAAAGGAATCTGAACAAAGTGAGCGCTATTTGTCAGAGCGCTTTTGGTGTGACAAGGCAAGTACTGAGACATCTCGATAAAGTCGCTAAGGTTTGAAAATATGGAATTTGTCTCTCACATGCTCTGAGCCCGAATCAGCTCTAAACCCGATCTGACATCATCATGTTCCTGTTGGTTTCTCATAGTTCCTTCGAATGATCGCCCATCATACTCATACAGGGGTGGCCAAAAAAAAGAGACACTCCACCCCACATTTCAGACAGCATTAATCACACTTTGCTAGAATCAAATCGACTGCCCCAACTTAGTATTGAAAGAGCACACTTCTAATCTATCTAAACCTTCACATGACAGCCTTCTACACCGACGACTAATACAGAAGATTAGTTTGCCACGAAAATGTGTTTTGCGATCACGAGGTCGTCGAGGTACCATAGGACCATTACGACGTCCCTGGAAGTGCTAGTCAAAAGCGGTTTTGCATAGTCACAGCTTAATGTCTCTGGGAAGCTATTCAACAGTTAATCCACACTTGAAGAAATTATGAAGCAGCTTCAGGCCGGAGCGATTACGGTAAGCCTCGTTGAGCTCGACGGTTGCCAGATGACCTGCAATTGCTAAAAAGACGGGCGGCGGACACAGTGAAGGAGGGCCTGCTTCTGTTTACGGGGGAACACCTTAGGAATATTTCACCGTAAAACTTTCATTAACATCGGCACCCTGTGCGAACGAAAAGTTTGATGATGTGCGCCATGGGCAAAGTGTCTTTTTTTTTGGCCACCCCTGTATATGTTGTATTAGTGCGGAAGAAGTGCAAATGTACTACAACAATCCACAAAGCTGCAAGATAGCTTCATGAAGCGATTCGGGAGTTCTGACAGAAGAATCCAACTCCCTCTGAAATTTTCCACTGAGTTCGTCATGGAGGGAATACAAAGAGAGCGGGGGGATGGTTGGCTGGGACCGACGACCAAACTCCCATCATACCCAGGCTGCAGTGAATGAAGATAGTCTCAAGCGGCATACATGGGCCGTCCTGTTGGTTGTGTGTGGCGTACTCTTCCGCGCTTCTCCCTCCTACAGCCCTGTCTCTTTTCGCAGCACCACTATTCACCTCACAAGAGAGAATGGTGCTTCCTGTGGTTGTTTCTGCTTTTTTCTCCACTAATTTTTCTCTCGCGCAGTTGTCTGATCTTTGAGCAAACACCATTTGATCGTCCCTTATGCCCTTAAGCTCCTGAATAGCTTGATACCACGCTGTACCAAGGAATGAAGGCTACCTACAGAATAGTTTCATAAGTTTTCTCTTATTTCAGCAAATGATTTTTCAAGAGAAAGTTTCTTCACTAAACTACACCAATTTGAACTACTGTAATTAATAATGAGGCAGGTTGAATATAGTGGCGTGCTTGCTTCTCAACCCATTGACGACAGCCCGTTGTTGTGTGCTTCTCGGCACCTTTTTTCTACTTTTCGCGCTTTTTTTCAGGATTTCAAGATTTCCCTTCCTACTAATGGGTATTATGTTTTCTGGATCCAATGATGTAGACGGGCAACTTTCCAACATTAGAACTGCCACGTAAATCAAGCAAAGTCCATGCCCATTCGGGTGACGCGCATGTGTGTCACGTTGTCGTCAACCGGTAATTGCGCTACCCATCCCTATTTGTATCCAAGATTGCGGGTGTCTTTTTCTTGAGTTCGACTGATGACATTTCGAAGGGGAAAATTTAGCATATTCATTCGCCACTTGAACGTTTGAATTATCAGAATAATATGATGCATATTGAAATATGTGCAGTTCATTGACTGCTTACAGAACACCTGAATACGACCCGAGCGACATGTGACCCGCACTGTTGGCAACGCGCACGTCCCATTAGATGACGCGCTAAATTGTCAGCCAATAGCGCGTTACAAGTGAAATAAACACACAGCACAAAATAACACCAGATAGCACTACAGAAAACGACATCCGTGGATCATCGGATCGATGGACGTTGAACCAGCCTCAGGTAACATCAGAAGGCAATTCGTATGCCAAAAGTCCGACATGCTGAGGTGACGCTTGTGTAGCTGAAAACCATCAAATAGACACTCATCAACAGCTGGTAAAAATACACACAGCATTCTACCACACGCGAATCACGATCTACTCCTCTATGCGACTATTAATTGAGCGTTCAGAGTTGGCGATCGTGCGTGCGATTTGCATAGTAGGCGATGATTTAAAAAAAAAGTGTAGGATTTGATCAGGCGATTAGGCGAGTAGACGAGTAAGCGCTAAATAGGCTGTCGGAACAGGATGCGTATCGATTTGTTGGCTCACCTATGGCGCGACCGACCTAATACGCCTACTCTGGCCCTAATTCGCAGGTACGATTCAGCTAGACTCTGAACGCTCGTATAAGGTTCTGGGTTCGTAACAGGCGACTCGTCCATGAAAGACTGCTTCACTTACTTCACTTCCTATTTGCTGCTGCTCCAAATCCTACTAGAACGATTAGCACTGATCAACCCAATAAGCAGGCAAATAATCCTTACAGCAGCAACTTTCTGCGCATACTCCAAGGGGGTGAACAACCCCAACTTAGGATTTGACAATGTCTAATTCGGGAGGGGAGGGCGGGTTGCAGGGCTTTAAAGAACCGAACCCGACTTCGGTCGCAGAAACTTTTTTTGCCTGAGAGCCCAGGTACCAAGCCTGTCCAAGGAGCAGACTGCTAGTTCCGTCACCGGAAAGTCGCCTTTCTATCCTGGCGACTACCCATCCCCACAATCGAACTAGAGAGCTCTCGCAAAGATTTCCTTACCAAAACGAACAACAGACGAAGCCTAACGAATCTGTCTAACGGCAAGGGCTAATTGATCGGGTGGTTGAAAATGGCAGTTCTTGTCACAGAAATGATCTGCAAATAGCAACAAGACAGCTGAATTTGCCTCTCAAATTCGGCTTTATCCTCACTCTTTGAAGGTGAAGCGCCATAAAGAGGAGAAGCGTAAAGGAGTAAAGCATCTCACGGGCTGCATGTTTGGGCATCGCGCAATCTACTTCTTCCTTAACAACACCGCTTTGAAGATCAGAAGGAAACAGGAAACCGAAACAATGGATCCCGGAGGTCATTTTGGAAAGTACTAGACTCAGGGCAAAATGAGAGTAAGGTAGATCCAGCATGGAAATGAACACTTCTAGGCAGTGACCACAATGGCTGGAAGGATGTGCGCTTGGGTGACGTCGTTGAACGTCATTGGCGGATTGGACCCTTCAGTGCGCTAGGAGGCATGGTTGGGGCCGCCTTCTAACGCGTTTCCACCAATGACGTTCAAGGACGTCATCAAAAGCGCACCGTCCTCCAGCCGCGATCACTGCCTTCAGGTGTGAGCTTTCGAATACTACCATTTCAGGCTCACAATGCTGCTGCCCCCTAATAAAAATTAGGTGCAACAGTTTCCAATAAAGATTTGATCCAATCACCTCCAATTTCAAATTTTTTCTCCTGCAAAAATGCCCGAGGACCAGAAATCGTCTCAATTGGGGAGGGGGGGGGTGGCAAATAAAACAGCGATTGACACCATTTTCAATTCTCGACGACCTATCGGCTAACTAGTCAGACAGATCGATTATCGATCCACTTACTTGAAAGCGTGATAGTGATTGGAGTGGTTGCTGGTAGTCCTTAATCAAGTAATAGCAGAAACTGCTGTGAACCAATATTAGCAGGAGCAGCAACCACATCACTCGCATAGACCGATTGCAAACATGCCAGTGGCAGAATGCGGCGGAGACGTTCTGCAACAGTGTGCTCATCTACCTGCAGACGGTGTTCGGCAGGTGTTCCAACGCCGAGTACGTTGAAATCGAGCAGCAGACGATACGTCCATTCGACAGTGAAGAATGTGGCAGCATTCGATGGGAAGGCCCTGAAAGAGAAAAAGCTAATTCTACAAACGAGTTTCGTAAAATGGGGTATCGATTTCCTAGGCCTAGTTTATTCCTCTCAAAATGAGGCTGGGTATAGTAATTAGCCTCTCATTAATGAAGGCGGCCAAAGGAACTGCTTGGCACTTTGAAAATGCGTTTCACGATTGTCTTGTGGGCGGAGCCTGCGCCCTCGAACAGCTCCTCCCCTTACACGGCGGCATCTCGTGGAGGCGGGGCCAGCCAATGAGAAGGGCGCAATCCACCCACATGGTAACGCATTTTTAGCATTCCTAGCATTTTAGCCTGCCCTCTTCGTACTGGCGGACTAACCAACACTATCTCTGCCTTGATCTTCAGGTGCAATAAGCAACACTTAAGTGATCGCGGATTATGCCTTTAAGAACGACAATCATTACAATCTCGATGAGAATCAGTTTGGAACCACTCTTTTTCTTTGGGTAGTTTTTCATGGCCTCAAAACGCTCAAAAAGGTATTTTGTCCCAAACTCAGGGAAAAAAGAACCCAACAATGTTAAGGAGCTCATGGAAATTGGGAGGAACAGAAGAATGAGAAGCACCCCCCCCCCCTACCCGTGATGCCTTTTCTTGTACCTGTTCGGATGTGCGATCCTTTTACTACTGTCATTTCCGCGCTAGAAAAGAGCAACTCAGCGAAGGGTTATAAGTGGAACCCCTACGGTTTGGATCTCAGATATAAGAACTGTCGGAAATTTCCTACCGTAATAAAGTGGAGCCGAGACCAGTGAAGAAGACCCGATATCCGCCTTCTGCATATGTGCTTCGTATACAATCCATGTAGCTGGGATAATATGTGGTTTGAAATCTGGTCTTTATGACATCCGTTGGATAGTTGAATAACCACGATAGCATCCCAGCGCCACCTGTAACAATAATTACTAGATGAAATCTCTAAGGTGATAAGTAATCATCTCA